TTCCTTTCTTCCTTCCTTCCTTCCTTCCTTCCTTCCTTCCTTCCTTCTTTCTTTCCTTCCTTCTTTATTATGTCCTTACTGTGTGCCATGCACTTTCTGCTGCACTGTGGGAAATAGAGAAGATATAGCAGACACTATCTCTAGAATCATGGATTTAGAGCTGAAAGGGATCTTAAGAGTAATAATGTTCAATCTCCTTATTTCATTGATGGGGTAACAGGCTCAGAGAGGTGGTATGACTTTCCTTTGCTTCAGTTTCCCTAGAGCAGACGGGTGGATAGAGAGATGCCTTCAGAGCCAGGAAGAAGTTGCTTCTATTCCTGTCTCTGGTTTTGTCACTCTGGACAAACCTCTCAGTTCTCTAGAAAATTCTCTAAGACTATAAATGGCACAGAATCTGTAAACCTGGGAGAGGGAATTTCCTCATCTTTCTCTGTACTAATGAAATCCCTAACCCTTTCCTAGAGAATCTTGTATGGATTTCTCCTTTAATGCTATAGCTTATTACCTAGTATTATACTTATCGATTCCATAATCCTCTAGTAAAATGGGAGGTCCTTAAGGGGTGGTGGACTTTGATTTGCATCTCTGTAATCCTCAGGCACAGAATAACGCCTTTATCACAATAAGCATGCAACAAATGTTTGTTGCACCATTTAATTGGAATAAAATCATCTCACTGAATATTATTCTCCTCTTTTGAAATTATTATTTGATTTATATGCTGATCTGTGTTCATATCAAATATTTATTACTAGACCCCAAGTTCCTTGAGGAAAGTGACTATATCTTACTTCAGTTTTATGTCCCTAGCAGCATGATGCGTTGCAAATAGCTGGCGCCTAATAAATGTGTCAAATGAATGGATGGTTTGGTGAATGGATGTATGATTGGATGAATGAATAAATGAACTACAGCAAAATGTAAAGGCTATAGATGAGTTTTAAAATAAGTTGTTTGGATTATATGTACTATAAGCATTCAGTGCAGTGAGGAGATGAAGTCAGTCAGGGAAGGCTTTATGGGAGAATGGAAGTAGTGAGACTTGAGCCAGACCTTATGGAGTAGAAGACATCTAGGTAGAGGAAAGAGAAGGGAACTGTATAAGCAAAGGCTTGAAAGTGAAAGTTATCATGTTACATCCAGCAGGTTTCAAGGACAAAATAGGTCCCATTAAAGGAAGTTTGATTTAAGTAACTGAAACAAGTGAGTTGAAGAATGTGATACACCCATACTCAGAAAATACTACCTTATCTCAGATTCTCTCTGCTTCTGAAAGAACAATGCCCTGGATCTTTGGGCAGATCCTTGATTAATATCAAAGCAGATACATGCTGGGAGGGAACTAATTCTATGGACTTCACTTTGGCCATGTAGTAACAAGGTCCTATGAAGGCTATTGGCAGGAAAAAGCAATTAAAAATAAAGAATTCACTTCCTTCTTAAATCCTTCCAAATCTGGCTTCTATTCCTTCCATTCTATTATTAAAAACCAAACCAATGACCTCTGAATCATCAAATCCAACAGAATTTATTTACTTTCCTGACATTTTCTTGTCCTATCTATACTGTTCAACACTATCGATCATTTTTATGATATTCTCACCTCCCTCTCCTTCTATGAAACTGCTACAAGCTGTCCTATCTCACAAAAAATTCCTTCTCTATTTCACTGACTACTCTTCCTTTTCCTCCCATCTAACTGTGAGGATCACCAGAAGTTGAACATTCAATCCTTTGCCCTTCTCTTGCTATACATCCTTTCTCTGAAACATTATCCAGTCTCTCTGAGTGAATATTTCCTCTAAAAGAATAATTCCCAAATTGGTGTCTACACTTCATATTTTCTTCCTGTCTTCTTCCACCTTCTCTTACTCCATGTATAACCAGTCATCAAGTCCTGTTGGGTCCTTATCAATGTTTCTCATTTTCATTGCTTTTCATTCTCAATGCCACCATCTTTCTTTCTTCTCATTACCTTGCCATGATATTGCTATAGCCTCCTAACTAACCTCCTTGTCACCAGGCTTGTCTCCTCTAATCCACATTGCACAGTAATGCCAGACTAATTCTTTGACAGTTCTGTTATCGTCACGACAATTCCTTCCTCTCCATCTATCAATGGTTCTCCATTACCTTCTGAATAAAGGCCAAATTCCTTATTTTGGCATTCAAAGATCACCACAATCTGGCCCTAGCCTAGTTCTTTATCATTATGTCATTCTATTCTTACACACATAAATCTGCTGTAATCAACTTTATTATTATTATTATGATTATAATATTTGTTTGGGTACATGGCATAGCTTTCTAACTAATTATCAGTTCACAGAGGGCAGGGACCTAGCCCTTCTTCATGTGTGTTTTCCTGTAGCAACTAGCATAGGGTTCTAAATACAGTAAATATCAAATAAATATTTCCTGAATTGAATTGTATCATCACAGTGAGCAAATGGTTCTTTATCATCTGCCCAGAAATATGTTTTGTTCTTCCCAATTCCCATAAAGCTTCTCCTTGACCCCTCTGGTCCATTCAGCTACTCTTCCATATCCCTCCTCTCCCAGCCCTTCTCCTTTCTGACTGTCTGGGCTTAAAATTCATGTCTCTACTGCATATAACCCTAGAACTTTCCTCAATACCTAGGATCTTCTTGCCTCCGAATAGCCTACCACCCTTTCAGCCTCTTTACCCTAGAATATCTCTTCTCAAGGCCAGCCATTCTTCCCCCACTGGTGAGTTCCTCCTAAAGCTTCATTTTTTTTGAGGGCCCTTATTTCTTTCTTGGACCTCTTCCTGATTTTCTGGACTTTTAAACCGTCTCTGCTCCACCTTGCTTCCCAGATCCCTTTTGTGAATTATCTTCCCTCATTAGAATATAAGCTCATTGAGGAAAGAGACTATCTTTCTTTTTGCTTGTGTTTGTATCCCTAGCACTTAGCATGCAGACATGGGGAAACCTACGGTCACATGTGGCCCTCTAGGTCTTCAAGTATGGCCTTTTGACTGAATCCAAACTTCACAGAACAAATCCCCTTAATAAAAGGATTTATTTTGTAAAACTTGGACTCAGTCAAAAGGCCACACCTAAGGACCTAGAAGGTCCTAGGCACTATCATTGTGCCTAGCACATAGGAAACACTTAACAAATGCTAGTTTCTTTCCTTCCTTTTCTGAGGCTGTTAGAGCAGTGGATAGAGTGCTAGAACTAGAAATCAGGAAAAGCTGTATCATTTAGCACAGTGCTTGGCACATAGTAGGCTCTCAACAAATATTTGTTGACTGATTTCCTTATATTTAAAATGAGAAGATTGGATTAGAGCATGTTGTAGATGTAGATTACATCTTGTAGATGTAGATTGTAGATTAGATCATCTTCCAGCTCAAAATTTATTAACCTTCATCCAGAAAAAGAGTTTATTCCTTTTTCTTCCCAAGTTTATTCCTTCTCCTAGCATCACAATTTCTGTTCAAAGAACCATCTTTCACCTGGTCTCTCATATTCGTTGTCATATATGACTTTGCCCAGACCAGAGGTCTTCCTACCTGCAATCCTTTCTTCATACCTCTGTCCAAATAATCTTTATTACACATAGATCTGGTCATCTCATTCCTCTGTTTACAATTTTTGATAGGCTCTTGAGGGAGCACCTGAGGCTATGCCATTTGCTTGGCCCTCCACATACTGGCACCATCTGGGTTTCCTAGCCTTATTTTATTCATTCATTCATTCAGTTTGTTTTTATTGTATCTCTTCTACTACAGGGAGCTGCAAATGAGGAACTTCCCTAACCAATGCAAATTGGTGAATTGTCTTCAGTTTCTAGTTACTTGAGACATTAATGGGTTACATGATTTATCCAGGATCACAAAGCCAATACGTCAATATATAACACAAACTCAAAAGTATCTTCGTCTCATAACATTTAGCCTAACATTCTAATCCACTAAGATCTCTTGGTATGACTTGTCCTTGATGAAGCCATGCTGGAGCTTTGTAAGTTCTACTTCCCTTTTAAAAGTTCACCAACTATCTCTTCAATAATACATTTGAGAATTTTTCCTCAAAGCAAAGTCAAGATTACTAGATTATAATTTGCAGACTGCTCTCTTCTGAAAATCAGTGCAATATTTGCTCATCTCTAATCTTATGGTACCTGTCTCATTTTCCATGATCTTTCAAATTATTATGGACAGTGGTTCAGTGATCCTATCTATTGGTTCTTTCAGAATTTGAGGTTGTAGTAGATCTAGGCCAGATGACATGAATTAATAAAGGGGAACTGGGTACCCTCTTACTTTTATTACTTATCTTGGATATCAATGACCATTTAGTCATGTTGGTTCTGTAATCTGCAGTCCCATTCTCTTTGGCAAAGAAAACAGAAATAAAATACCAATCAAACAGCTGTGCTTTCTCTCTGTTATCAGTTATCCCTGCCATATCTATCCCAAACAATGTTTCTATCTGTTTTGATTCTCCATTACCTCTCAATAAGGCTAAGAAAACTCTTCTTCATTGTATTTAGTTTCACTTGCCAGTCTTAGCTCATGCTGAACATTAGCCCTTCTGGAATATTTTGACTAGGATTTTCTCTCTCTCTCTCTCTCTCTCACACACACACACACACACACAGACACATGTGTACACATAAACATACATATACAGTACATATATATACATATATATGTATACATATATGCATATTTCCTGTATTATGTGATGTTGTTTGCATATTCTGTACATTGCTTTTTAAAAACAAAACCTAAGTTGGTTGACGAGGCACCCAAATCTGTCCCATCAGATAAATCCCATTTTTTTCTTCTCATTTTAATTGATTTCTCTTTTATCTTCAAATATTATTCTT